CAAGTCTTGGTGCATTTCGTACGGATACATGTCCTCGTAGGACTTTTGGAATTCGGAGTTCATAGTGGCTATCATGATGCAATGAACCTTCGTTGCATCATGCTCATGAGTTTCAAAAGCGGTGATTTCTGCCGGAGTAGCGATTTTAGGATTGATCTTCTCGAGCTTCTCATCGATGACATACTCCTTGTCCTCGTAGCGAGCGATCGTGCGAATGTATCTTATCCATTCGCTAAAGTTCGTTCCATCGAAAGTCACCTTTTGGCAAAGGCTCATCAATGTGAACGAGCTAGCAGCAGCATTGTTCGCGTTCGATATCTACAAATAGAAAGGACAAAGATAGATTCGAATTTGGATCCCTAATTATCACCCAATAAGAAAATTAGGGCTAGGATCCAACAAAAATATTTACATATTAGAAAAGGGATGCCGTAATCTAACATGCAAACAATTTGAAGGTAAGTGAATGACGATTCACTAATTCTCCACCATGAAAACATAACTTTAAGTTCTAAATGTATTGAGAATTCCTTGGTTTGGATGAGATTCATTGAACTTTTCAATGGCATGTTTAAATCTCGATATGCCCCTCTCATTTGTGACTGGGATACCGAGGATCACAAAGTGGGTGTGAATTACCATGCAAATTCACATGGTGCCTTCATTGTAACGATCACTTATTCGACGTGCCGGTAAACCACACATGCTCCATCGAACTATGATAAACAATGAATCACCATTTGCCTTCCTTCGCCTAGAACCAATTAGTGTGCCGGTAAACCACACACGCTCCACTAACGTCTTAGCAAGGGTGCAAAGTGTAATTTCATGAGATTGCATCAATTCACTTTTCCTAAAAATAACTAGGATTGGGAATTTTGAAAAACATGTAGTTACTTTGTATTTCATATTATACTTTTAATGAGGGGATGAGGTTGCCCTATCCTACCCGTTCGGCTAACGAACCTCCACCGATCAAGCAAGCGGTGGGTGTGAGTGTACACCCATTAAGCGCCATTTTATAGGCAGCAACCTTATACCCACCTTGTAGACCGGTTTCGTGAATGAGACCTACTAACAGTAAGACTCGCATTTTAGTTATACATATATATATATATATATATATATATATATATATATATATATATATATATTAATCTTGTAATATTATATTAGTATAGGGTTTAATTTTAAACTTGTAAAATTCTAGGGTTTGAAATTTAAATTTTACAAATTAAACTTTTAATCACAAAACATAAATTTCAAAACTTGAGGGTAGGTTTTAAACTTCTCAAAACATAAAGGATCAAATAACAAATAATCTAAATTAATATTTAATCACATAATTATCCATATTTGATTTATTTAATTATTTCTTGCAATACAATTTACCAATTTAATTAGAATAATTAGTCAATTATCACATAAGGAAACTAATATTTAATTGATTGATAAATATCTTCAATTAGGTCAAGGATATACTCAAATATATCAAAAACTCGGATTTATATTGACCTAATATGATTAAGGTAAGTTTCAAAAGGATAAACAGCAAGAAATCCTGAAATTAGCTCTTTCTGACGCTCGAACTCGCCGAGTACCACAATGGACTCACCGAGTTGAGGCCTACTCGCCTAGTCCACTATGGAACTCGCCGAGTTCATCAGGCAGGAACACAAAAATCGAATTTTGCAAGCATCAAACAAGTAACTAATGCATCAATTCAATAGAAACCAATCTAGGCTCTGATACCACTGATGGGTTTTAGCCATATGAACATTCCTATGAGCACATACAAAACCCTAATGCTTGGATCTAGGTTTCTCTAATTGAACATGCATGAATCCAAGACTTATAATGGTTATTCTAGCATAATAACAAAGATAAATAAGAGTTATAAGTTTACCTTGAATCATTTGTTTGATCTTCTTGTTCTTGGAGCTTTAGAGTCACAATTGTCACTCCTCTAATGGCTTACAAACACCAACTACCAAGAGGATGATTTGAGACAGTGGGGAGGGACTTAGAAATCGGCCAGGGTTTCCTTAGAAACAAGATGTGTCGATTTCCATGACCCCAAGGGTCTATTTATACTTGTAAGGCTCCTAGGGTTTCACCTTTAAACCCTAATTGGATAACTTAAGCCCTAAGCAATCCTAATCCCTTCATGATAAACCTTGGATGAATTTTGGTCTATCCTAAGCCATAAAATCGTCCACTATATTATCCATAAGGAATTATAATCTAAAGTATAACTATCACACATTTGACAGTTTAAGCTCTTCTATTTAATTAATCTCTTTAAGTCACCAAATTAATTCCTAATTAATTTATGACTTATATTAATCAAATAATAATATTATTCCTTATAATATTTCAACTCTCATTGTAAATCATCCTATCAAGTTGCTATGGTGAAGGCAACCCAAAAGGACCATGCTCAATCGGGTCAAATAGTTGCTTAATATAGTTGCAGCCTTAGACACTATTCCAACACTAAGATGTCCTTTGAGGATTAATTGTGATATGATTTCATAATCAACAAGACTATCATAAAACACGATACATAAGTACTCTCCCTTCTTCTTAGATTGGAGAAAGTTTTATCTTTTTGCCTAATTGATTCTTCTTATTCGTTCTACCATACATTGAAACTTTTCAATGATTCATAATTACACTTAATCTTGTAAGCATAACCACATTTACTAAACTTTTAGTAAATGATGGCGAATAATGTTATTGTTCTTTGTGGTGGACTTGACTAGTGCACAACATTGTGTACCAGTTCTCCTAGTCCTTCACTTGACTCTTTGTCAAGGAATTAGTCTTAATTTTCCAAATATGAAGATTCTCATTCATCATACAATACAATTTGTATGATTTCAAGTTTCTGTCCAATTGAAACTCGGGCGACAAGAATCTTTCCTTATTTGGTAAATTCTCAACATTTCCACAAATAAAATAACTAAGAATCACACCCATTTCAACATTGCTAAAACTAGAAATACACAAACGTCAATTTTTCATACATGTCATTGCAAGGAAATAAATAAATAAGACAAAAATCAAAATTTATTTTATTTATAAAAGGTGCGGAATAACTTATCCTTACAATGCAATTCAAATGAAAACTACGCTATTACATATTCCTAAGAAATTCTAAAAATCCGATCATCGAATCATCCGATCGAAATCCATTTCTTCACGATCAGACTCAACTCACTTATCCTTTAAGCTTCCTCTGTTTTCTTCGATCCTACAAAACATCAAATGTAATGTTATCACATCATGCATTAAGAATCAAAAAATAGGAACTTATAGAGTTAGTTAATGGATTTTACCTGAAGTAGAGCCATACATCTTGACTCTCCCATCTCTTAGATCTCTCAGGTAAACAGGGTAGCTTCGTCTCTAATGCCCCATCTTTTGGCAATAAAAGCAAATTGACTCCTTTGGAACAACACACATAACTACCTCGGACTTTTCCTTTATCTTATGGTCAAACTTTTCGACCATGGCATGCCTTTCGTTGCCATTGCCTATGTCTATGGAGGTTTGGAAGGCAGATCTACCAATCAACTTTGCTTCTCCAGTGCGCCAAATCATTGTTGATTCAGCAGCAACAAGCAAATAGGTGAGATCGATAAGGGTTACATCGTGGTCTATCATATAGTACTCTCTTACGAACTCACTATATGAGTCGGGAAGCGATTGAAGAACCTAGTCAACAGCCAACTTCTCACAGACAACAAATCCCAACATTCTTAACCTGTCAATGTGCAACTTCATCTCTAAGACGTGTGCACACACTAACTTTCCTTCTTTGTGTTTACTTGCCAAAAAGGCTTGAGTGAGCTTGAACTTTTCAAGCCTTTGAACTTGTGGTTCAAGGAAAATAATAGGAAGAGGTGGAGGAAGTGAAGCATGATCTCTTGTTCCTCGATCGAATCATGGAATATCATCTTCATGTGGAAAGCTTGTTCCAAGGGTTTTGGGAATACCATAGTTGTCATACTTTGACATCTACAAAACGGGAGAAAATTTAAATTAGTTGATTGAATGAGTTCTTAATAAAACACCTAAATGAGATATTAAGGCTAGGACCCAACACAATATTCTACAATTTGGAAGAGAGATGCCGTAATCCAAATTGCAGAACATTTGAAGGTAAGTGAATGACGATTCACTAATTTTCCACCATGAAAAACAAAAAAGAGATTAAGTTTTAAATGTATTGAAAACTCCTAGATCCTTTGAGATTCATTGAATTTTTCAATGACATGTTTAAATCTCGATATGCCCCTCGATTTTGGATTGGGACGCCGAGGATCACAAAACATGGTATGAATAACCACACAAATATACATGGTGCCCCCAATGTTACAATCACCTATTCGTTGTGCCAGTTAACCATACGCACTCCATCGAACTATGACAAATATCGAGTCACCCTTTGCCACCTTTGTTTAGAGCCCATTTAGTATGCCGATTAACAACACACGCTCCACTAACGTCTTCGCAAGGGTACAAAGTGTAATTTGATCTTTGTCATCTCCATCGAACTTCAATCACAATATTTAGTATTTCAACGTGCCCCCAATGTTACAATCACCTATTCGTTGTGCCAGTTAACCATACGCACTCCATCGAACTATGACAAATATCGAGTCACCCTTTGCCACCTTTGTTTAGAGCCCATTTAGTATGCCGATTAACAACACACGCTCCACTAACGTCTTCGCAAGGGTACAAAGTGTAATTTGATCTTTGTCATCTCCATCGAACTTCAATCACAATATTTAGTATTTCAACACAACACGTCATACATTTTTCAAAATCTAAACCATAACACCTTAACCCGATCTGAAATAAACGAGTTGATATGAAATTATACAAAAGATAAGCGGCTAAAATTAGAATAATGTCTATCTAGTTTTTGGTCTAAATATTCGGGCAAACATATTACATAAGGTTTACAATATAGGTACGACATTTTGTAGCATCTGTCTTTACAAAATTAAGCTTTGAAGAGACAATTGAATTGTTTAAAGTGTTAAACAATATATGGGTTCGGCCCACACCAGCCAAAATTGTCAAAATCGATGAACGAAAGAATGCTTTCATGTCAGGAAATTGTCTCCAATCGGTTGTAAACTATGCATAACCAGTTGTACGTTGGTTTCACAACGGTACTTCCACTGCATAAATGAAACCGGAACCACCGGAACGGCGACGAAGGACGCCAAATGTTCGCCTGAGAAGATCATCTCAGGCGGGAATTTGTTGCCTGTTCTCCGGAGATATGTTGCGCGGCTACTTTTCGGAAATCAGGTTCTCCCTTGTCCTTCGCCGTCTTCGCACTGCCGCGTTGGTCGTCGTCGTTTTTGGCTTCTTTTATGTCGTTTTCAATCGAGCCTTCGATCACGACCGGATCCTGTTCCCAGACTACTTTGTTCCATCGACTCACATATTCCCTTCCTTGCTCTCTGATTCCTTGCTGGTAAGTCTCTGCTCTAGACATTGTTTTATGTTCGTATTCCTGCTATCAGGAACGTTTATTAGCGCTAGTAAATTGGTATATCAATCGGTCACTGGCAATGTTTATCATGAATCATAGTCTTGCACAATGTATATGAATTCACATTGATCAATGATTATACAAAATGTAGCAAGTAGTGATGATGCCTGAGCTTGTATCTTCAAACATCAAAAGGTAGCAGAATTATGCCCAAATTTGTATTATGAGAAACATTCTCTCCTTTCCATAGAAGGAGTTCAAATTTCGTTTGGCTTCAATTTGACAGAATTATGCCCAAATTTGAGAGAAAAAATAGTTACTGAGCTAAGCTATACGAGAAGGGATGCAATTAGGTTAAATTGTTTCTATTTTGAGCTTGGATTGCAATCGATTTGAACTTTAGGAGTCAAATGTGGATCCCCTTTCACTGAATTAGGAGAATTTTGGTCTTTTCAGAGTATAATCTGCTACAGATTTGGTCATCTTCCTTGAAGTTCTTGACCTTAGTTGATCTAGTTCTTGTGTTGCAGCGTTTAGATTATCTTACTCTTGTCTCAACCATCTGAATCTTTTACTCAATGGGCTAAATGCAAGAAATAACAACATACTTACATATATTTGATTATTATAAGATCTTACTTTTCAAATATTTCTATTCAATTCTTTCATAATTAAGTCATTATACTTTGAAAAATCCACCAAGTTATATCAGTGAAAATTGCTTTGATTTAGATGACATTGTTATGATTGGGTAAAAAATTTCAATGTACAAGGCTATCAATAGGAAGAAATTGAATTTTTATTGCTATTTTTATTTCAATACAATATGCAAAACCACCATGAATATGTTAAAATCCTCTAATATTGCCTCACATGTTAATATTATATAATTTTAAGATACTAGATAACTTTGAATGCATCTTCCTATAAATTGTTAAACTTTTATATGATGCTCAAACCCTACATGTTTTGTTAAAAAACCTCCCTAAATTGTGTTTTCATAAATTTATTCAAGCCAACATGAGGGACATAATATCCATTAATTTCTACTCCATCATTTTGTTAAGGAAAGGAAATTAACAATTGGGTGAATTACCTTTTTCATCCCTGTAGTTTGTTGATTTTTACAGATGTGGTCCTATGGTTTCATTTCTAAACTTTTCGCCCCTGAAAATTATTTTTGTCACACTCACACTCCCTGAACCAGACACCATTTATTTCAGGTCCTTAAGCCCATGAAAATGACCATATTGCCCTTTTTTATATTTGTTATTATTACTGTTATTGTTTTTTATTATGATTGAACATGAACTTAATAAATGGATAAATCACATTTTTCATCCCTATATTTGTTGACTTTTATGGATATGGTCCAGTAGTTTTACTTTTAACCTTTTTTTTTTCCCTAAAAAGTATTATTGTCACACTTTCAGTCCCTAAAATGGACCATGTTTATTTTAACCTGTTAAGCCCATGTAAATGACTATTTTACCCTTTCCTTTATATATTGTTATTATCATAGTTGTTATTATTATTGGTTTTTATTATGATTAACAGATGGAACTTAATAAACAAGTAAATTTACATTTTCCCTCCCTAAGGTTTATCGATTTTTTCGGATATGGTCCAATAGTTCCATTTCTAACCTTTTCCCTCCCTGAAAAGTAACTGAAATTTATTTTATGCCGTTAAGACTTAATACCATGTGAAATGACTATTTTACCCTTACTGATTTATACATTATTGATTATTGTATTGATCATGTGTTGGTATTGTAGGACAGTGGTGACACAAATCTAGAAACAGTGTTAAAGGAAGCTTCCATGGAAGACAAAACGGTTATTCTAACAACTCTAAATAAAGCATGGGCAGATCCGGAAAACTCAATTCTGGATCTATTTTTGGAAAGTTTTAGAATTGGTTACAAAACAAGCAGACTTTTAAATCATTTGGTGATTATTGCCCTTGATCAGAAAGCTTTTATGAGCTGTAAACGTGTACACTCTCATTGCTTTGCTCTTGTTACTGAAGGATATGATCTCTCTCATGAAGCCTATTTTATGACCCCTGATTATTTGAAGATGATGTGGCTTAGAATTGACTTTCTTCGTTCTGTTCTTGAATTGGGATACAACTTTCTCTTCACGGTATTCTCTCTCTCTCTCTCTCTCTCTCTCTCTCACACACACACACACACAGTTTCTCTCTCTCTCTCTCTCTCTCTCTCTCTATATATATATATATATATATATATATATATATATATATATATATATATATATATATATATATATATATATATATATATATATATATATATATATATATAGGAAAAAGTGGATTTTTGTGTTGTTATGTACCCAAGTCTAGGTTTAGAAGTTAGAAGTTTGAACAACTCAAAACGACGTAGTTTTGAGTTATAAAAAGTAAAAACAGAACCACTTGTGAAATAGAATAGTTATGAGAAAAATAAAATCAAGAATGTGATGTTTATATTCAAAACTACGTCGTTTTGAGTGGTTCTACAATACAACATATTTGGCCCATATGTTTACTTTTGAGATTGAACTTAGGGTTAATTGTAGGGTTAATCTCGGAAAAGACATTATATTTTATGTTTTTTTTTATCGGATTGAACCTCAGATTTATTTTTTTGCCTGAAAAAGACCCTGTATTTTTTCATTTTTTCCGATCTGACCCATTTAGTCATTTAAAAAAAAAAATTGTAAAATTTGAGGGTTTTTTTTTCTTCGAGAAAAGCTAAAAAGGTTGACGGTTTATTTGGAAGCGCTTAGAAGGTTGAGGGATTTTTTCAGAAAAAAAAAAACACAAAAGTTGAGTGGTTTTTCGAAAAAAAATGAAAAAATACAAGGTCTTTTTCAGGAAAAATAAATAAATTTGAGGTTCAATCCGATAAAAAAAAACATAAAATATAACAACTTTTTTTTAGATTAATCCTTAATTTAAGATATAGCAATGTATTCGTCCATTATAGCATCCTACATTCATTTCTTTACACAAGCATTGTACTTTGAAAAACCAATTCAATTATTTAAACGTCATAAAAAAAAACAAAGTTGTTTTCAATTTTCATTAATATAATTGGATACATTTTTCAAACCATAATTTCCTCATAAGAAAAAAAAATTATAAACATAACACAACAATTGAATACATTTTTCAAAAATACAATAACTTAATAAAATTAAAAGTACATTGCTATTTCATCCAGGATGCTGATGTCATGTGGTTCCGGGACCCGTTCCCTCATTTCCACCCAAACACAGATTTCCAAATCGCATGCGACCATTACTCTGGAAACTCAACCGATCTAAAATCCAATATTCCAAACGGAGGCTTTTCATTTGTGAGGTCAAACATTCGGTCAATACAATTTTACAAATTTTGGTACACATCAAGAGAATTATACCCAAATTTACACGATCAAGATGTCCTCAACAACATCAAATTCCATCCTTTTTTAATCGAAATTAAATTACAAATAAAGTTTTTAAGCACTTCGTATTTCGGTGGATTTTGTGAACCTAGTAAAGATTTAAACAAAGTTTGCACAATGCATGCGAATTGTTGTGTGGGACTCGGGAATAAAGTTCATGATCTTAAAAATTTGCTTCAAGATTGGAAAAAATTTATGGCGCTTCCTCCTCGGTTGAAAATGTCACCAACGCCGTCTTGGAGACCGCCGAATAATTGCACGTAAGATGTGTATTGAACTGTGAATAGAACAGATTGTACTGTGTTTGTGTTTGGTGTGCATTGGACTGGTTGTACTGTGTTTGGTGTGTATTGGACTGAGACTGATATAAAAAGGATAAAAGTTGCAGCTTTTTGTCCGACCCAGAAGTATAGATATAGACATATACTTTTACTTTCACTTTTATATGGAATTAGACACTTAGACTTTTTTCTATAGTGATTAAATTGTTATACTTTTTTTAACCATTAAATTTTTTTTTTTTAGGTTTTGAGAAAGAGCACAATACAAAAGAGTATAACATACTTTTACCACTTTATGGATTTAGCAATTAAACAATCTTTTTTTATAATTATTATAATACAAAAAAGCACAATTGTACTTTTACAATTTTATTGATTTAGATTTAGCTACTTAGGTGGTATTATAATAAATATAAAAAATAATGGTTTAATGTGTAAATTGATAAAGGAGTGAAAGTGAGTTATGATTTTCTGTATTTTTCCCTTTTCAATTTCTCAATTAGGCACAAAATTGCACTTTTTGATCAATTTATCTACTTAATTGTTATTATAATAATCATAAAAAACTTATAGTTTTGTGGCTAAGTCGATTGATTAGTAAAAGTAAGTTGTGTTTTTCTGTCATAAATAAGCATTCGTAAAAAATGCTTTTTTTAAACAGTCAACAAAGTATAATGATTACTAAAGGAAAAAGTTGAATGACTTACGTCGTTTGAAAATAAATAGTGTTTTTTTTTTTCATGTATTTTGTCTCATCCATTGTATAAAGTGTGTAAAAAGACATAAATACCCTTCTCATTTAAATGATAAAGATGAGAATGATATTTACAGTCTTTTTCCAAAAACGGTTTCCGGTTTCTAGTTTCATCTTTTTAAGTAGAAAAAAATATTTACTACTTTTGTCTCAGTCTAATATGCATGTCAAACACAATGCAACATGTGTAAGTCCTATTTTGCCCCTAGCCTAACTTCTGTGCGTGCTTATCCCTAACATAATTTTTATTTTTTATTTTTTTTTTAATTGGGTATTATTCCAGTCTTGCATTGCGACGCCACTTTAATATGTCAGGAATTGGAAATGGAACCAGAATAGACACATTGAGATTAAGGTAACATTTATGTATGTCTTGTAGTTATTCGTATAATTCAGATTATGAAAACACTTATGATGTAAGAAGGTGTTTTCTTCCCCTCAAAAGAAACTCACGTGTAGTAATTTCTAATTTGTTGGTGAAAAATATATAGACGACACGATAGTTATTATAGTACATGATATATATTAGAATATACAAGAAAGATAAATAGTGGTTTCTAGTTGTGACACGTGTGACTAATGTTAAGATTTAGGTGATAAATTCTATATATATACGAGTAGTGATGTTATATGCTTTCTGTATTTCATTAATCTTTTGATATTTTAACCGATTTTCACCCGCCATTGTTGATTGTCTTCAAGGGGATGTATATATATGATATTAGTTTGACGAATTGGGCATGTAAATTGTAATCTATAAATAATGTACTTGCATTTGATTTGATTGATAAAAAAAAAGCGTGAATTGGACTTAGATGATGAAATAGCAAACGTATTATTTTCTGTAAAATCAATAACATTGTTGTTTATTTTTATTTTTTTATAAATTTTGTTCAATTTATGGGTTTACAAATAGAGATGTGCCTTTGATTTACAAAGAAGGTGAGAGATTGTCACTGTTCCAAGACTCTAAACACATACATATATTTTGGGTGTGTTTGGGATTTGCTTATTTAAACTATTTTTTTAGCATATTCCGGTATGATACTAATAATCACTTTGTTTAATTACTTTGAAACTCGAGAAACTAAATTACATTTTTACATCAAATTTAAAGAAACAATAATATATGTAAGATGTCATTTTCGGTCATTTTATATATATAAAGAGAATTTATTAAACAGTAAAAAATAATATATCTGTGAATTTCTTTAGCTATACAAACATTTAAAAGAACTCTACAAGTTTCACATGATAAACTAATTAACACTTTTTAAAAAAATAAAAAAGATATAGACAAAACTGCAAATTTGGTCCTTGTGGTTTGTAAAAAACTTTGGATGAAGTCTAAAATCCTTTTGACTTGTATGGATTGTCCAAATCAGAAAATTTCGGTGGATCTGGTTCTCGCAAACTCTATTATATGTGAATTTGGTCAACATACAACCTAAAATGATTTATATGCTTTTTTAATGATTCTTTTTTTTAATTTCTTTTCCTTTTCCTTTTTGTATATTTATATTAATCCTCTCTCTTTCTCTCTCTCTCTCTCTCTCTCTCTCTCTCTCTCTCTCTCTCTCTCACACACACACACACACAAATGTCGTTTGCTTCTGCAAGATTCCATGGAAGAGTTTCAGTTTTATTGTCGATAGCTTCTTCAACATCGATCTACAATGAAGACTCATCATCACAATGGAGATTTTCTGATGATGACTTGTATGAGTATGAGCTGTTCATGTGAAAATGCTACCTCGTCGACTCAATTCTCTTCCAGAATTGGTACTCCGCTAACCCTCTTGGTGATTCCTTCCAAAGGGTATCATATTGTTTTGCAATAGGGCTAAATTCAAGACTCGCCTATCTTCACTGATAAGAACACTAGCATCAACAAAACTCATCTGAAGGGGATACAGGTCTGAACATTGGTGTGGATGAATGGAGGTTAGCAAGAAATCAACCAAAACCGTTTTCAATACCCCAAATCAGAACCAATAGCAATAGCATAACTGCTTCTTCTTTCTCTATTCAATCGATCTAAATTTTGTAAAATCTCGTACTCTCCAGTAGACATGACATCTTTGTTGAATCCACCTTCTAGCATTGCATAAGCCAAAGAAAATTTGTACCTACAAAATGTTTGTTCTTGATTGTGCATAAAACCCCCAAATTGGATGTCGGAATTACTAGGGTCGACAGTGATAAGAAGGTCGTCAGACCTGTTCTACCTAGAGATGCATCTCTGATAACGAGGTCGTCAGATTTATAGCTAAACCAAGAAGAAGGTGTAGGTAGAGGAAGAATATGAACTTAGAGAACCCAGATAAAGTTCATGCTCATTAATCTGAAGCTATATCCGACGATGGGTCGAAAAGGACGGTGTAGGCAACAATGCCTATGTAGGGGTAGGCTGTAGGAAAAGATGAAGATGAGGGTGGTGGAGATGGAGGGGTGTGGTGGTAGTGGTGGTGAATAAGTGAAATTAGCATGGGGTGGTTTCCTGGTTGGTGTCATTTGGGAAGAGAGAGAGAGAGAGAGAGAGAGAGAGAGAGAGAGAGAGAGAGAGAGAGAGAGAGAGAGAGAGAGAGAGAGAGAGAGAGAGTAGTTGATTTTAATTTTTATTTTTCATAATTAATTAATTATTAAAGAGGGTGATAATTTTTTTTTATGATTATTTAAATACTAAAACAAAACAAAATGTAAAATAGAAATAATAGGGGCAAAATAGTCATTTAAACCTTTTTAGGACTAAAATTACAAGGAATTCTTGATTTTGGATATTTCATGCAAGTCGAAAACTTTTGGATCCTATCCATAGCTTTTTCGAAACCACAGGGACCAATTTTGCAGATTCGTCAAAAATATAATATAAACAAACCCAAACATCCCTTAGATTGATTTGATTTGTACAAAAAAAAAAAAAAAAAAAAAAAAAAAAAAAAAGAGCTTATTCTCATAAGTTGTGAAGTCAAATAAACTCAAACAACACTCACACACGAGAATATTGAACAATAATTTTAGCAAAAACAATGATTTCTATAAAGAGAGACGATTTCATAAAGAACAAAAAAAATAAAAAAAATAAAAAATAAAATAAAGCTTACCTTTTTATCAAGTTAACAGTCATTGAATCCAAATCTCCTCACTTCTCTCTTCGTGACATTAGGATCACCATCTTGATCGTCAATTCGCCACCAAACACCATGTTTGAAATGAGAAAAATAGAGGTAATATCTACACCTAAATATTAATATGAATTACTATGAATCTCCATGACCAAGAATTGACAATGGACACGGGAAGTAACTATAAATATATAGAAGTTCTATAGAATTTCATGATGAAGAAAAAAATGAATCTGCAAGATTGTATTCAATTGATTCAAAAATAGAAATGAGCTACAACATATATACATGGAAAGATGGACAAAACAGAACATAACCGAATAACCATCTTCTAAAAAACTCTCTAACTAACCAAGAGTTAAGTTACAATACTGCCCTTGAATGATGAAATTGCCCTTGAGCTCATTTGAAGTATTTTATGCTGGGGGATTCTATTTTCACCTCTTAAAACCACAAATCATTTAGTCAAAACAACTAATACTAAAGTCAAATATAAAAAATTAAAAAAAAAAAAAACATAACCCAATCATATTTAATGAATAAAAGATTATAAATGTAGGGTCCTGCGGTTTGCGTCGAACTTTTTTTTTTTCATTATTAATTAATTTTATATAATGTTTATAATTCTATAATTTCAGTTTTTAATCATTATTTTATATTATTTTATTATTATTTTAATATCTAAAGTATATTTTCTTATATTTAAGTTAAAAAATAGAATAGTTATAAACTATCATAATTGTTGTTTTTATTTTTTTATTAGTGTGTGTGTGTGTGTGTGTGTGTGTATATATATATATTGTATTGTATTGATTAAGCTCATATTAGTTTTCGATTATACCTTAGGCAATATGTGGTCATCTCGAGCGCACCTAGTTGATCAATCTCTACATAGACAATTAATAAAATTATGATATTCATTATATCGAGGGGCCTATTCTAATTTTCTTTTATTATTATTAATGTTAAACAAAAATATATTAGAAATGTAACATCCTGTTTCGGATCGTCTATGATCTAGGGTTCGTGGGCTGCAACCTGGGCATAAGAAAGCCTTGAGGCTGCGACGAGTTACTAGAAACGTAGGGCTTCTCGCCATCTTTCCATGGATGTTAGGATTCGTTGGAAACAGATTTATAACTAAGAAGTTATGATAGTTTGAAGTGTTGGCAAGTTTGGTCCCTTATTTGAGAAAAGGTGGCAGTTGACTAAGCGGGGTGTACGCGTGTGTACACTCATCGTACTCATGTGCATGATTTGGATGCGGAGGCCACCTAGTACGCTGGGCGTACCAGAGGGTACGTTGGGCATACTAGGCTTAGGGTTGAGGGGTGTGCCCCTGTTTAAGGAACATGATGGCCTCATTTCTAGCCACCATTTCCATCCCTCAACCCTCTCAAAACCCTAATTTTCGTCCATGAGCTTGAGTGACCATTTGTAAGCTTCTAAGTGTTCTTATGAGATCCTTTGAGTGAAGAAGGAGCATTGAAGAGAATAGAGTTGGAGTCTAGGCTTTGGATCTAAGCTTTTCTGTGGTTGGAGCATCATTTGAAGGTATAAAGCTAAGAGCTTTCTCATCCTTTTTTATATGTGCATATTATGGTCCATTTTAGAGTTTTTGGTCCCAAAGCTTGAAGCTTTATGAGTTGTTGAACTCCAGAACCTTATATCTGTCCCTTTAAGTGATTCAAGCAGATTGAACTCATAAAAATGGGATCTTGGACATCAAACCACCCCATGCATGAGATATGAGCATTTTTGGGAGTAAAGAGTGAGAGTATTTGGGTTTGGGACTTTATCAGCCATGCAAAGGCTTAAAGTCACGAACTTTATGGAGTATGAGCCTTTAGGGAGTCCAGATATGAGAATATAGTTATGGTCTTATCGGGTTAAGACAAAGAGAGTGGGGAAAGAAAATCTGGGATGTAACCTGAGTGTAATCCCAGTACACGCATCGTAGCGTTCGAGGATCCCCGATGCATGCATGGCAAGGTAGTACGCCCAATGTAAAGGGATTGTACGCCCAGCGTACGCGCTGCATTTGACTTTTAGGGTTTGGTCAATTTATGGACTATAGAGGCCATGGAAGGGTAAAATGGTCTTTTATCCTTCTGTGAGTTTGTAGTGGGTTTAGCTTAGCTTCTTTGAGGGTTGTTTATTAATTAGAGATAATTATGTTATGTGTTAGGCGGAGGCTAGACCGTTGATTCGTGTACGAGGTTTATTTGCTTGTTTACGAGGTGAGTCTTCTCACTATACATACCTGAGTGGTACTGCTAAGTGACCAGAGGGTCTTATTTGAGTTATGTGATATTATGCATTTTGTCTTTGTAATATATGCTATATTATTCTGTGCATTTTGAGATCGGACCGGAGGGTCCAACCTGAGCTGTGAGACCGGAGGGTCCTTACTGATACACAAGACTGGAGGGTCTAACCCGAACTGTGAGACCGGAGGGTCCTCACTGAGACACATGATCAGAGGGTCCACACTGAGCCGTGAGACCGGAGGGTCCTCACCGAGACGCATGACCGGAGGCTCCATGGCGAGTTATAGCCATGAGAGGCTTATTATTTGTGTATGTGGTATTTTGGAGAACTCACTAAGCTTCGTGCTTACCGTGTTATGTGATATGTGTTTCAGGAACTTCTCAAGATCGCGGGAAGGCGACGACTTGATTGTACACACGAGATGAAGTTATGTTTTAGAGGATCTTGGAGTTTTATTCAAACAATTATGGACATGTGCTTTGATAATTTGATATTTTGGGTTTTGTGAAATGTGTTTATGAGAATTATGTGATTTTTAAAATGAAAAATTTGTTTAGAAAATTTACGGTGTTACAAGAAAGGCACAATTACCACATTTTTTTTTACCAAAAACAACTATTATAAATAAAAAATTTATTTTCATTTATAACCGTTTTGTCAAACACTTTCATATTTTAATTTTAGTAGAAATACATTAATATTAAAAATAAAATATGTATTATTAATAATGTATAAATAAACTTTATTAATTTTCAGGACATCAATATGAATATTATAATTATTATGTTGTGCAATTCAGTGGAATATACCCACAACAGTTGACTTGACAACTATCCAAAACGTATTCAACTTAAAGTCTCCCAAAAATCATATTTACATCTACTTCATTGTTTCATTTTGAAAAACCCATCCAACTCCACGTCAATGATATCTAAAACAAACATTAACCGAAATATTTTAAAGGAAACAACTCAGGTTACAAGATAATGGAGTACCACTTGGAGTTGTTCTGATTTTCTTACCGATTGTTTCTTCGATTTAGGGTTTGCGAGAAAGTGTTTTTACGGAGGGTTTTTTACTAGGGGTGTCACAACTGGAAATTTTGTGTCATGTAGTCTATACATTCAAGCTAATGTGAATCAAAAACTTCAATCAAATACAATATACAAGTACTACAAGTAGTCATCAAACAATTGGAGACCCTAGAAGTTCTTGTTAAGTCCATTTTGGACTAGGACTTCCTTATTGGATCCAAATGGACCAATAAGCTTCCAATTGGACTATCATGGGCTTAGAACCCTAATTGGGCTCTAATTGGACCCACATTCTTTTATTTCAATATTTTGGGCTAGGTTGAACCTAGAATGAAATGAATTGAAAGCTTTGATCCATGAATACCCTAAACTAGTTCAACAAAAATGGAAAAATCATACTATATTCTTTTATGATAAAATTCACCCAAATTAACTCCAATATTGGGCTTGGGAGCAAAAAGCCCAATTTTTCCTCCTTCCATTCCAAATTCTCGGCCCAATGCACAAGCCCAAGAGGAAAGGAAGCATGTTGACTTGTGAGTGACACCTCACTATTATCTAATGGACTTCTATGCACATATCACATACCTCCATGCATATATCACTTCAAATATCACTTATTCTCTTCTCTCTTCTCACTCTCGGCCGAACACACACTCACACACACCAAAAATCTCTCAAACTCTCTCTCAAGAACACTCAAGAACACTTCTCCCTCTCCACTCAAAATCTCGAGTTTTAGAAAGAATTCAAGGGGAAATTTCCACAAATTCTTCATCTAAGGTAAGATTATGCATGGATCTATGATTTATATTCTTTTTATTATCAAATCCCTTCCTAATCCATGCAAAATCGTGATTTTCACCTTAGAAAGCTTCATAAACTCGAAAATTTCATCAAGGAGTGCAAAGGCCAAAAATCACTTCATTTCTTCCATTCTTTCTTCCAAAAACCGAATCAACACCCAAGGTGAGTTTCATATCCCCTTATTTTCGATTTTTTATGAGTTTTTATGGGGGAGAATACAAGAAAATGTGAAGATCCATCATTATGTGTATGTTGTGGTTGATTTCTATGCTTACATGTATGTTTTGTATGATTTTATTGATAGAACTAGGGTGATATGCTAAAAACCGAGACATATATTTTATCATAGCACAAAATAGACTATCACATGCAAAGTATACTAAGAAAATGGCTAAATAGATTAACACCACTTAACTTGGGCTAAAAACTCATTTTTTTGACATAAAATGTTGAAAATACAAAGTTGAAGGGCCTAATATGAAACATTTCGAAATCTGATGGGTGAGATGAACCAAAACAGTTTACATAATGTATTTTTCTGAAAATATGCTATTTAGAGGGTTAAAAACATAAATTCCAAGCTTATTGGGCTAAATATGACATTTTCGGCCCAATAAGGCCCAATATGCGAAAATTTCCAAATTGGAGGGCCAAAACTGCATTTTTCTGTAAAACAGTGGACTATAAGTGCTCCATATGCTTTTCAAAGGTTTAAAATGCTTTCCAAATTTAAAAGGGACCAAAATTGTAAAATTTTTTCCAAATTGGGTCAAAAATGTAAAAGTTGCGAAAAGTAGGGGCTATAACCGAGAAAACTGAAGTTTCAAGGGCTTAAACTGTTTTCTATGATAAGTTTGCTGGAAAAATACTTATGTCAATAATTTTTGGTATAAAAATGTCAGGAAAATTGATTTAAGGACCAAACCGGAAAGTTTTTTAAATAAAGGGGTAAAAAGAGTAAATTCTTCAAGTAAGGAGGGGCTGAAAACAGAAAATCTTCAAGGCTAGTTAATATATGCAATTTGACCAATTGATGGTAACACGCTTGTCGACGAAATACAATATACTACAATACCAAAAGTCGTTGTCAAACGAATTGGTTCGGTCTCGAACCAATAAAAATCCAAAATCACTAACACGACGAAGCTACGACATTTCGATTCATAACCATAACGATTACGATTACATGCGAGTGTGCACAGACGTCTACGCACCATCTTTGGGCCCCAAAAGTGTAAAATCTTGTCTGTTGAGCCTAGCTAGCCCAACGACCTGATCTTAAGGCCCGAAGGTCTCTCTCTCTTACGAAGTGTTGGGTTTTACCGACCCTACATGACGTAACAAGACTTTCAATGGCAACATGCTGCTGGTCCCCAAGGGTCCTTCAGTGCTGCTAGTAAAGTCTGTAACTCACGATTGCGAGTTGGGCTTCGGGCCCTTCGCAATTGCATTTGGTCTCGGACGACGCGGGGAAACCCCGAAGGTTTCGTACCTTCTTCCTTCCCTCCGGTCGTGGGACTTTACAAGTCTGGGAGGATGGAGTCGCGTGAAGAATTACGAGTGACGCCTATGAGGATCGCTTGTAAGGTTGTTGACTTGTCGTTTTCACTAACGCATGTCCCAACACTTCACCACTCTCTGTATTCTCGATGCCTCCGAAATACAACGATACAACGATAGGAAAACGTCGGGTTTTCCCAGGATTTCAATAACGATTACAAATTTCCGGTCGAATTTCACAACTCTTACGCTTACATCTATAGAATTCAAACAAGCATACTCATGGATCATTACTTATTTTTATTACACCATTCAATTTCTAGAAAATATCGGATTTTCTAAAGGTTTTCAAACAACACATTGGATTTCAAACTCTACTTATGAACTCACCAACATTTCATATGTTGACGTTTTTCAAAATACTTGTATTCTCAGGTAACAGATAAAGTGAAGATGATTTGTACTCTCTGACGTTTTGCTGTGATTTAAGTAGTACCAAACAATTATTTCTTTGAATGTAATTTTTGGGAACAATGTAATGTATGTAAACGTTACCAGTTGTATCATTTCCAAATGTTGGTGATGTTTTATGTTATGTTTCATGTATATGCATTGTTATGGTATTCAATGAGTCACGATAGCCCCCGGACGTTTCCGCCGTCTGGTTCGGGGGTGTGACAGGTTGGTATCAGAGCTTTGTTTATAGTGAACTAGCATATCTCACCGCACACGGATATGCAACTATAAACCAAAAGAGGGACTAACATAACTCTGAACAAAACAAGTAAATAAAACACCCTTGCTTGCACTAGGAATAGGAACATAACGACAAACCAAACAAAAATAATACTAGTGTCTCGGTTAATTCGGGACTGTTCTTAGTGATACCAAGGAGTGAATGTAGCCTGATCAACTACATTCTCTCCAAAGTAAAACTAACACACGTCCTGATGAGATCGGGATTTCTAGGGAATCTAAAACTATACCCCTATCACCAAAAAGAGAACGTCTGTTTAGTCTGCAATAGTGGAAGAGGCATAGGATAATATTAGTGAACTTTTACGTGTTTTGCTATGTGTTGCGAATCTATGATAGTATGCTAAATGATAGAGGTACTTAAGCTCATGCCATACACCTAGTCAGTAGAACCACAACCTCACGGAAACCACGTATACTCAACATCTTTCCGTTTCGTGACAAGAAGATGCCTCTCCGACCTGCTCACGGAAACCCAAGACCAACCCCACCTGAAGTTGACTCAGCCGCTTTCCAGGCAGCTGTATCAGCAGCAGTTACCGCAGCGATTGCGCAAATTCAACAAGGGAACAATGGAGGAGTCAATGGGCAAGGAGCCGGAAGCTCAAACAATGGACTGAATCAAGGAGCCGCCAAAGCATGTACCTATAAGGACTTCACAAACGCCAAACCACGAACTTTTAATGGCACCGGAGGAGTGATCACTCTGAAGCGTTGGATCGAGAAGGTGGAATCGATATTCGAGATATGCGACTGCCCTGAGCACATGAAGGTGAAGTTCGCAGCTTGCACTTTTGTGGATCAGGCGCTCACCTGGTGGAATGGACATGTAGAATCCATGACGCTCCCTGTAGCCAACTCCATTCCCTGGACAGAAATGAAAGAAATGTTGATGGAAGAGTACTGCCCACGAGGCAAAATACAGAAGATGGAACAAGAGCTATGGAACCTCACTGTGCAGAACGCGAATATCGATGCCTACATATCGAGATTTAGCGAACTATCTCTGTTGTGCCCGGGTATGATCACCTCGGAAGGAAAGAAGATCGAGCGATTCATCTGGGGAATCACATCACCAATTCAAGGGAATGTGATAGCTGCAAACCCAGAAACATTTGACAGTGCAAAGAGATTGGCGAAGAGGTTGTATGACCATAATAACAAAAAGGGAGAGAAACCAGTGGAGGCTGAGAAGAAGAAGGAAGGAGATGACAAGAGGGGAAGGAACAACAAGAGGAAGGGGCGTCAGGGCCCCGACACCTCCAAGAAACAGCAGACAGTGGCGGTAAATGTCGTTACTACATCGGCTCCAGCCGCACCACATGCTC